TATAATTTTTGTCTGGAATTTGACAAGATTTAAATATGTAACACTATAGAACGTCAATAAAACGTCATTATAAAATTTCTGATATTTGACACGGTGCTCTCAATTTAATTCTTTGATAAAAGAAGAAAGTTTTGGTATAAAAATGTTGCTACAACGTCTATTTTTGTACACCATTATAATATTTACAGAAAGTGTGTATAACAAGTTGTGTATTACGTATAAATACATACGTATATAACTCTATTTACATATATCCCCATATAAAAATATACCCTCATATAACTTTGTAAATTCGAATTTCTTTCTCCCTCTTTTTATATCTCACTCATTTGCTGTATGTCTCATGAGAATCTGTATAGAAGGCATACCTTAATAAAGAAAGACATAAGTATATAATTCTATTTACATATATTCCCATATAACTTTATAAATTCGAATATATTTCTTCTTATTATTATACCTCATTCATTTGCTGTATCTCTCAGGAGAATCTGTATAGAAGGCACATCTTAATAAAGAAAGACATAAGTATATAACTCTATTTGCATATATCCCAATATAACTTTATAAATTCGAATATATTTCTTCCTCCTTTTATACCTCACTCATTTGCTGTATCTCTCAGGAGAATCTGTATAGAAGGCACATCTTAATAAAGAAAGACATAAGTATATAACTCTATTTGCATATATCCCAATATAACTTTATAAATTCGAATATATTTCTTCCTCCTTTTATATCTCATTCATTTGCTGTATCTCTCAGGAGAATCTGTATAAAAGGCATATCTTAATCAATAAAGACATATTTAGGTATTCTAGAGAGAGAATGACGTTATAAAGTGACATTAATGAAGGAGGTATTTCCAATCAGCGAGCTCCACCCAGCGGCGAAGAAAGGGGTTTGCCGTGACCTACATCTACCCACTAGCCAATCTCACTTTCAACCTGACCCACTTCAAACGGCCATGACCTAAATAACCATTTCTCTCCTAAATAGACTTGTCATAACGTGAAAGTGCACAGATTCACTTCATTTCACGTCACATTCAGCAGTGAATGTGTGGAAGTGGGTCAGGGACATCTGGAAATACCTAGCTCACAACTCGGTTTTTAGCTTTGATTTGCATAACGAAGAAAGTGGTAAATATGTAAAATGGTTGTTAGGTTTACTCTCGATGATTATGCATTCCATATGAAGTTTTTTTTTTTTTTTATGGGGATTTTTAAAGGTTTTTTCCGTTATATTTAGGAAATGAGCCTTACCTGCTTCACTGGATCCGATGTGATCCACTAGGGAGTCCTGCAGAAGTAGTCCTGTGGAGGACCCTCCTGGATCATCACTCGACATCATCATCATGGTGATGGCATGCCGCGGGGAAGTTGCTCTAAAAAATGCTATCCACTCCAGTCGCCGAGCGGCGGGCGGCGGTTGCGCTCACGTGATGCGCAGTAGGAAGTAAACAGTCGGCGCAGCCGATTTCCTTCCTGCTGCACTTCCGTATTGTGGCGCTCCTGCTGCCATCTTGTGAGAGTTTTTGAAACTATTTTTTTTAAACTCGATTGACAACTGTTTTAATAACTTCCATTTACTTGTGTTTACTATTATAAAATATTATTGTTGTATTTTTTAAAAATGTTTTAAAGGTGGCTATGATAAAAGACGATAGAAGAGAGATAAATAAAAATAAGAACTAAATCAATCTCTCTCTCTATAAATGAAAGTAGTGAAAGTGATGAAAAAATGTCAATCTTTATAACGTTTTTCTATTCTACGCGTTTTTTAAATTGAGATTATCTTAATATTCTTTCATTAGATTATTAAAAAGTCTCTTGGTATCATCATGGTGATAGGTTAAGATGCAATTTGAACCATGCGAACGAGGACCAACAATCCGAAACACGTACATGGTTAGCTTTATTTATCATAATGATATTGAGCCATTATCATTCAAGTTGAAGACTTCATCAACCTTTTTATTAACGTTTATTGTCCTTTTTGACGTTTCGGTCACCCACTATCGTCCTTTTTAAAAAAGGTTGAAAGTTTAATGGTGAAGTATTGTCAAACACAAGTATTGTCGACAGTATTTCACCAATAAACTTTCCATTTTCTTGAAAAGGATGACAGTGGATCGCTAAAACGTCAAAGGAAAAATAAACGTTTATAAAAATGCTGATAAAATCTTCTCAAACTCGAATTAATCATAATCCAACCTGATAATACTGGTATTCTCTTTCTCTCTATTAGCCACTATATCGATGAAAATTCTAAAAAAATCAACCTATTATGTATTTATTCCGATAGATGGTAATAACCATCTTTGAGTTGCATGATCAGATGTAATCTGTTATATAAACAAAGGTATTATAGAATGTAACTATTGCTTTCTCTCTCTTTCTTCCCTGTTAGCATTCGTTTATCGATACCACGATGTCAGTACATCCACATTCTAGGATTCCATAAGTGAAGCGGAGAAACTCTGGAAGCTTTTTATTGAAGAGATTGTTGAGGATGAAGAAAATAAGACCAAGAAGATGATGGACTGATCAAATTATACAATCCCCTGACTGACCTTTGAGAAAAATGAGAAAGCTGGTTGAAGATAGAACGAGATGGGGAGATTTAATAAGTGAGAACTTACAGTACTGGGAAAGACACATAAACTCTACTACATATATCCTAACTACACCTTATATGTAAATATGGATCCTAAGGCACCGAACATGTCTTCATTGATTTCAGAAATCACGCTTAGAAGGTAGTTCTTCAATCACTAAAGAGCTCATCCATGTTGCTTAACTCCCTCCCGTATATTCAATATAAATTTTCTTTCTAGAGCCCTGGATATTATTTTTGGCTTAAAATTGTAATATTCCAACCGACCCTTGGTGAGGAAATAGAGATTCCTGATAAATGTATGAAGATAACTTGCAATAAGAGATTCTTTTGTATCTAATTAATATAAAATAAGCAATTTAATGTCAACCTGTCAAAAAAGCGATAAGGGTAAAAAGAGGAATTACAACGTGTTTCTTTATTAAATATTGGGCAAGCTTTCGAGAGACATCTCTTCCTCAGGCCGAATGAGAGATAGGGATCGGAAGCTCGAAAGATATTTCATAAAGAGAAGCACATTGAAGTGAAATCCAAGGATTGGCATTCTTTTGAGATTTTATCTGGTATATCTAGCTTTCTCGAGATTACAGCCCTTTCTACAGGTGAGAACATTGTTATCTTAAAATATTTAGAAAAATATTTAACTGTGTTTGAAAAGAGAACCTCGCGACATGTCTGGCAGGGGGGGTACTGCTGACATCTCGAGTTGTCTGTAAACTGTGGACATTTACAGTGAGGGTGGTCTTACCTTCGTGAGGTATTCTATTAGAGGACATTGGGTTCTGAGAAAAAATATCTCATAAACTTTTTAAAAGTCCAGTATTTTTATTATACTGTATATACGCGGTACAATTATCACAGGGACCATTCTAATCTTCTCTTTATCCTTCCTATTGTAAAGTTGTACCATGCTAATCTTCTCTGTATCCTTCCTATTTTTATAGTTGTACCGCCGAACTGGTATCACAGGGGCCATGCTAATCTTCTCTGTATCCTTCCTACTGTAGTAGTTGTACCGCCGAACTGGTATCACAGGGGCCATACTAATCTTCTCTGTATCCTTCCTATTGTAGTAGTTGTACCGCCGAACTGATATCACAGGGGCCATGCTAATCTTCTCTGTGTCCTTCCTATTGTAGTAGTTGTACCGCCGAACTGGTATCACAGGGGCCATGCTAATCTTCTCTGTGTCCTTCCTATTGTAGTAGTTGTACCGCCGAACTGTTATCACAGGGGCCATACTAATCTTCTCTGTATCCTTCCTATTGTAGTAGTTGTACCGCCGAACTGGTATCACAGGGGCCATGCTAATCTTCTCTGTATCCTTCCTATTGTAGTAGTTGTACGGCCGAACTGGTATCACAGGGGCCATGCTAATCTTCTCTGTATCCTTCCTATTGTAGTAGTTGTACCGCCGAACTGGTATCACAGGGGCCATGCTAATCTTCTCTGTGTCCTTCCTATTGTAGTAGTTGTACCGCCGAACTGTTATCACAGGGGCCATGCTAATCTTCTCTGTATCCTTCCTATTGTAGTAGTTGTACCGCCGAACTGGTATCACAGGGGTCATGCTAATCTTCTCTGTATCCTTCCTATTGTAGTAGTTGTACCGCCGAACTGGTATCACAGGGGCCATGCTAATCTTCTCTGTATCCTTCCTATTGTAGTAGTTGTACCGCCGAACTGATATCACAGGGTCCATGCTAATCTTCTCTGTATCATTCCTATTATAGTAGTTGTACCACCGAACTGGTATCTCAGGGGCGATGTTAATCTTCTCTGTATCCTTCCTATTGTAGTAGTTGTACCGCCGAACTGGTATCACAGGGGCCATACTAATATTCTCTGTATCCTTCCTATTGTAGTAGTTGTACCGCCGAACTGGTATCACAGGAGCCATACTAATATTCTCTGTATCCTTCCTATTGTAGTAGTTGTACCGCCGAACTGGTATCACAGGAGCCATGCTAATATTCTCTGTATCCTTCCTATTGTAGTAGTTGTACCGCCGAACTGGTATCACAGGGGCCATGCTAATCTTCTCTGTATCCTTCCTATTGTAGTAGTTGTACCTCCGAACTGTTATCACAGGGACCATACTAATCTTCTTTGTATCCTTCCTATTGTAGTAGGAACAGCACAACATAAGTTTTCTTTTAAATTAAAAATTGTTTGTATATTTGTATAAAGATTATGGACATTCTATTAGCTTGTGAGCATGTACGCGACAAAGATTGTTTATGAAGCTGGTTGGTTTTCCTGCTGATTTTAGGGTGAAACAGAGAGAGAGATGTTTTTTGTACTAATTTTTAAATAGTAAGAAAGTCCATGTCTGTTGAACATATATAAGAATGAGGACTATTAACTCTAGTACAGCCATCGTTTCCGTGGTGTAGTGGGTATCACGTGTGCTTCACGTGACATTCACGCTTCACAACAACAACAACGGTTCAATCCCGGGTGGGAACATTTTTTTTTTACCTTTAATTTTAAATGTTAGATTTAAATGTAATTGGTTATATTTGGATATAATTGCGCAGGAGGATAACGAAGAAATGAAAATCAGATTTTTTTTAATTATCCCTAGTACATGTGGTACAGGCCATGATAATCATGGTGAGTAGTATTTGGCGACTGCTTTTACTGTAAGTGCACAACATGTCTACATATGCGGAATACAGTTCGACTTTGGAACATATAAGTGTGTCAAAGCTTCGTTTGGTTATTTGTATTTACTGGTGAGGTTGGACTTTTGCTTGAATCAGGGACCATTGGAGACATTTTTATTTGCTAGAAAAGAAGTGTACAAGGCGGGGTTCGATCCCGGGTCGTAGCTGTCAAAAACAGACGATTTATATTCCTCGGCCACCTTCACCTTGCATGGATAGGAATAAAACCAGAAATCTAATTCAAAGAGGCAATAAATATTGGGTAATTCTTTGTACTTAAGTAATGGAAAAACGCATTTCGGGCAACTTGATTTAATTTCAAGTAAGGACACATATATAAAATTTAATTTCCTTTGTAAATATATTTTGGATTTCATTAAGAAAAATGGTCTCTAATGTAACGATCTCAAGGAAATATTGGACATATTATATGGTTGTAAACAATATATAGGTGTATGCGTGTATATGTGTGTATATATGTATATATTTTTTAATTTAATGATGTAACTGTAAATAAAATTCAAAGAATATCTCTATATGTAAATAATATTTATGAATCTTTCTAAGTCGCTTTCTGTATATCTTTCCATGTTGAATATTTTCTTTGTTAAATTTGTATGTACATTTACCGCAAGTGTCCCTAGGGGGACATAGCGTTTTGAATTGAAATAAATAAATAAACGTCGATTTATTTTGAATACAGAAAATATTAGACAAAATACAGCCTGCACTACACTGACGAGGTCCGGCAACCCGGAACATATATTTTGTTGACTTTCTTGATTAATTCAGGATATATTTTGACACCATTCTAGGGGAAATAAACGTTTTAGTTTATATTTATTCCGAGTGATGGCGTATACCATTAGTATCTATTATCTGGACGAATTGAACCACCTATTGAACTGGTTCATTCTTCTCAACATTCAAAATTTCACTCTGTATTTAAACTTTATGATTGAGGGCTGAATCATGATAATTGATGTTTTTTTCAGTTTCTCTGAGCAGGTACTGTGGTATTTCTCTCCAGTGGCGTATTTTGATTTTTATTTCTGAGTTCTTTTCTTCATTTCTTTACTATTTTTATTCCATCCAGTCCAATTCTTCTTCTTCCTCTACACTTAGGACATGATTAAAAGCAATGGGCACTAGTCCATACTGGTGAGCTAGACAGACCGGATAGTGGCGTTCTACCCTCCAGAACTTTGAGAAAGTCCAATTTTGGTTCATAAATAATATAACACACACAAAGAGATCGTTTGGTCAATACGTATAAGACTAGGGAATGTTAAATGTAAAACAACCATCGTTTCCGTGGTGTAGCGGTTATCACGTGTGCTTCACACGCACAAGGTCCCCGGTTCGATCCCGGGCGGGAACATTTTTTTTTTTTTAACATTAAATTCAAATATAATACATTTTTTGATTTTGTTATATTTGAACTAGAAGACAATGTAGACGTGAATAATATGTGTTAATAGGAAAGATAAGGAATTAAGAGGTCTTGGGAAAACAAATTAGACTTGTTGAAGATCTTCGGAGGAAAAATAATTGAATGGGAACGCATATAGAGGAAATACTATGTCTATTTTATATTATTCCTAATACACGTGAGATACAGGCCATGATCATCATAGTGGGTAGAAGTAGGCGACTGCTTTTACTATAAGTGCACCACATGTCTACACATGTGAAAAGCAGTTCGATTTTGCACTTACAAATGTGCCAGAGACCCGTTTGGTTACTTGTACTCACTGCACTTGCACATTTGTAAGTGAAAAAGTCGAACTGCTTTTCCCATGTGTAGAGGAAATATTTCACTACAATAGTTCGGAATACTGGAATTTGTGTGAAGATGGTAACAACGCTGTTACCGAAAGATCATCTATTATTTATGTACTTTGTAATCTTCAAAAACATTATCAAACTGTTTTCTATGTTCCATCTTGTCTATTCCTGATGACCTTTAAAGGGTCTCTCGTTCCTCTCCTCAACACTTCTATAAACTCTTATATTCCTCAGGGAGTCGGTGGACGAGTGGCTGAACCGTTAGTTTTCCACCGCTACGCCCTGGGATCAAATCCTGAATTGGGAACTTTTTTCTAAGTAAAAAAATGCTCCAATAGCCCCCGATTCTTGCAAAAGTATAACCCCATCAGCAAGTAACTAAATAAGGTTCTGGCACACTTGTAAATGAAAAAGTCGAACTGTTGTTGTTGTTGCTTATTCCTCAAGTCATTTAAACAATCTCCATTAGGTTCCATTGTCAAGGCTTTTCTATTATTGTCTTGGGGTAGACATCATGGAGAAGGAAAGAGGGGTGCTGTTGGTCTGAAGATCTGGAAGTACCACTCAGTGTGACTTTGATTCTTAAAAGTCGAACTGATTTTCACGTGTATAAACATAAACTTACTGTAAAAGTAATCGCCAACTTCTACCCCCTATGATTATCTTGAACTCTACCACGTGTATTAGGGATAATAAAAAAAATCTGTTTTTTGTCTCTTAATTCTTCTCCGGTTTAACAGTTTAATTATGTCCAGATAATCAATTACATTTGAATCTAAAATTTGAGAAAAAAATGTTCCCGCCCGGGATCGAACCGGGGACCTTGTGCGTGTGAAGCACACGTGATAACCACTACACCACGGAAACGATGCTGTAAGGAAGCTATTATTCCTTAATCTTATGTATTTTCAACACACGTGTGCACTTTCCTTTTAATTCCATGGTATAATTAGTCATGAAATATCTGAGGTATTTTTAAATATATATTCAAATATATGATTATTTCCATAAAACATCATTATAGCAACCAAGAAAAGTCTTCCTTGTTAATACCAAAAATGATATTGTAACAGTTGAGCCAATGATAATCTCTCTATAGAAAAAACACCCGACCTGTATTTCTTCTTCTCTGTTGTAACACTTTTGACCCGAGGGATGCCAATTCGCGTCCTTGCCGATGTTTTACAGGTACATTAGGTCAGCTGACATCCCCCCAACCCACTGATAGATAGACAAGAAGGGACAAGATCCTGGTGTGTGTGTGTGGACTCTAAATCGGTATTTAATATTATATCTAATTTTGAAAATCGAGGACGTGAATTCGCGTCCTTCGGGCTTGATTCAAAATCGGAAAGGACGCGAATTCGCATCCCTTGGGTCGAAAGTGTTAACAGTGTTTATCCCTACAGAATATATTCATTTTTGACCAGAAAATTTCCCTCCTTGCCTCTCTTTTATTTACTTGGATTGTTTTGATTGAAATAATTTGCTCTGTCATGTTTGTTATCTCTCGTTTGTCTACCTGACAGCATATTAGAGTGACTCTCTAACTGTAGATATGGAGGAATTCAGAAATTTACAAAAATAATTGTGTGGCCATATGGGAGAATGCCATATTTGCAGAGAGAGATTGAGATTGGGATTGAAGCTGATTTATTACCATGTCCATATAAGGTTATATAAAAATAAATATATGAATAAATAGATATAAATATATCGAATAATTGATAAATATATACAAGTCGTCATTAGTGGTGCCCACCGCAGGAAAGACTCCGCCATCAGTAGACTGTGAGAGTTCTCTACCACAAAGTTGGCAGGCCACGGTATTGGCTGGTGTTACCCACCTCAAGACAAAGATGGTACTTGTAGATGGTAGCCTTTGCTACACTGGTCAGCTTCATTGCCTCAGGATGGAGGCTGATACTGAACAGCCAGGCCTGGAGATCCAGGGGCACTTCGCAGGAGACGAGCACCTCCCGGAGCAGGAGTCGCTATTAAACAGGTACTCATCCTCCCTCTAAGAAGGGGAAGACAACAGCTATCTCCTCCCTATAATAGAGAGAGAGAGATTGGGATTTTATTAATTCAAGTTGAAAACTTCATCAACCTTTTTATAAACATTTATTGTACTTTGGTGAACCAATGGCGGCTTTTTTTTTTTTTTTTAAAAAGGTGATTGAATGAGCATATTAGAAACGGCTGCACATGGTGCTTGTTCCTCATGTCAGAAATGGCCATTTCATATTGGAACTAAGTAGGTGGCCTGTTACTGAGTAGTGCTCCCAGTCTTAATGATAGATGTATTCTACTTCACCCAATCATTATGGAGATATACATGCTTGATACTCTAATATGATGATATGAATATGATAATATGATTGAGTGGAGATAAGAAAGAAGAAGAAACACTTTGTGTGAATTCCTGGAAGATTTTAAAGAAAACTTCTAGAACTTTTGATGAATCAAGATCAGCAGAATATTCTGAAACTGCCTGTAATGTATCAGTATATTGGGTATTTTTTAGGTTGAATTCCTTCAACTTTTTCTTTATTTTGGCTACCCACTGTCACCTTTTTCAAGTAAACCATTCCTTGTTAGTGTCCATCAAGTTCAACTTTTGGAGACTATATATGGACAAATATTCTCTAATTCTATCTACAAAAGGTAATAAGACCAAATTCAGGGGGGTCAGTGGAAGGGTGGTCTAAACCGTTGGTTTTCGACCGCTATGACCTGGGATCAAATCCCGCATTGGGCACTTTTTTCTAATTAAAAAAAAATATATGCCCAACGGCTCCCAATTCTTTCAAAAGTTCAACCCCACCAGCGAGTGAAAGTAGCCAAACGGGGCTCTGGCACATTTGTAAATGCAAAGTCAAACTGCTTTTCACATATGTAGACATGTGGGGCACTTACAGTAAAAACAGTCACCAACTTCTACCCAACATGATTATCATGGCCTGTACCACGTGTACTAGGGATATAAGTAAGTAGACCAAATCCAAATAA